GCCTTTCAGCCAGCAGGTGAAATTTAACACTGTGTGCATCCAGGGACTCCCTAGGAGTCCTCATATACACCAGAAATTGGGGACCATGGAAATTCTGCATTGACTTGGTGCCAATGAAATGCAGAGGGCTGAAAATAGCTAGGTGCTTAAATGAGAGAAAAACCCTCCAAAACAGAAACTTAGGCCCAGGGAAAGCCAGCATGTACACAGAGGTACCAGAGATTATGTTTGATCTGAGCACAAGCCTCTGCTATGAACTCTGAACGTGGCTCTGGACACAAATGAATTACTTCCTATCTCTTAAGATTCCAGTTCTTTATACAATGCTGTTGCTGGATTCCCAAGTACTTTTTCAGTTACAGAAGTCCAGTTTTACGTCAAAACATAAGTTTTAAGGTGACAGCAATCAGAGAGAGATACATAAAGAAATGAAAGATGAAGACTAGCTTGAGTACAGCTAGCTCTGAATGCAGAGTAACAATAATGAAGCAGAGATTAAACACCAAAGGAATCTAGTTAAAAAGGGTGAAGATTTATGAGTTCTGGACCGTCAATCACTAACTGAGATAAAGTTCCCTGGCAAAATTTGTAAAAGTCTCTCTGATAAGATATTGGAAAGTAAGCTTGTTAGATTGAAGATAGCAAAAAATAAATTTGCCAGCCTAGGATTTATTGATCTTTCATGGGTTTTGTTGGTTTGTTTGTTTGTTTGTTTTTTTATAAAAAATGGAATGGACTCCTGTCATGCTAAAAAGAAGTAAAAAGAAGCTCAGTGGAAAGGTTATTACGTAAATGAAAAGTCTACATGACAATACATTTATTCTTTCAGTATCAGGAGGGGAACTCTGAGATAGTACATATAGTGGGAATAAAGGGGGCATAAGGTAAGGCAGCTTTGGCACCTCTTTTCTGCCAGAACATGTGCCAGCAAGAAGCAATATTTTCAGGATCAATATCCTACTTACCTATGGACTAGTCTCATGCTAAGAGGGAGCATATAGAGACCTACAATTCCTGTGTTTGGCCTAGATTAGTGTCTCACACTGGATTAGTTTATCAGCAGGCATCAATATGATCTGTCTTCTAAAAATGTAAGCTCCCTGAAGAGAGCACTCAGAAACATCAACATCTGATGAATGAAAAAATGGATCCTAATTTAATCAACTGCTTGGGAGCTATCTGGAACTAGGACACAGAAAATTCATTAGGTAATGGAATAGAAAGGGGACCAGAGAGTTACTCAAACACAAAGCATCTGATTTCGACAGTGTCTATGTCAGTTTGAGGACTAAGGTGCATATCAAGGCACTTGCTATGTATCTGAGAGCTGACAATAAGGATGAATAAGGATTACAGAAGGATTGATATCTGTGAACTTGGTGCTGGAGAAAGTGCTGAATATCCCACGAACTGCTAAATGAATAAACACATGTCTTGGAGAAGGTGCAGCCAGAGGGCTCCTTGAGGCAAAGATGATGAAGCTTCATCTCACGTAATTTGGGGATGTTGCTAGGAGATAGAAAGACATCATGCTTGGAAAGGTGGAGGGATGGTGAAGAAAAAGAAAACCCTCAACGAGGTGGGCAGTCTTGGTGACTGCAGCAATGGCTTGACTGTGCCCGAGACTGTGAGGATGGCAAGGCACAGAAGGTTTAGATCTGTTCTATAAGTATGTATGTGTCATATATGACTTTACAGCACCTAACATCATCATCATCATCATCATCATCATGATGTTAGGCTAGACTCAAAACAATAGCAAAAAGCCAAGTATATGGATAATTAATATATCTACTCATATTTAACTTTTCCTAAACTTATCTTTTCCAAAGACAAGAAGTTCAGAGGTGTTTACCGTATATTTTTTAATTATTTCAAGTTTTTAAGAAATAAGTTGGTTAAAAACAGTGCTTATATCATCATAAACATTCTTCTAGGTGGTATTGTGCTGGTCTGTGTGTTGCTGTACAGAGGTAACTCGTGGTTGCTGTGATGCTGAACACTGGGACACTGATGTGCCAAACGTGGTAATGGGTACCCATGGTGGACAGTGCTGGTTGGAGCTTCCCGACTAAATCAAGCCTGGAAGCAGGACCAGCATCCACTTCCGAAATGGCTTGCCTCCGGAAACTCTATGTACGAACAGTGCTTAGGCGTTTCGTTCATAGGGTCACTATGAGTCCTCTATGCCTTGACGTCACCTAACAACAACAACATATCATAAAAAACCCCATGACGTGTTGTTTTTCTGTGTCATCTTTGAGGAAATCAGTGCTTACATTTTCTGCAAGATCTGGTACCATGTTCCCACTCACTTAACCCATCGATAAAGATGAGAAGACTATTTTCTGAAGATGCCAGGTAGTAGTGTTTCCAATATAAGCTTGATAAATTTGTCTTATTTCTACTGTTTTTTATCAAGGTTGGTTGTTCTATCTAACCTCACTTAGCTGAAGCAGCCTGCAACATTCTTGACAGTGGAAGATCCAAAGGAACAGGATCCTTGTCTATTTGCTGTCCTTGATTCCTTAGTGCCTACATCTAGGTACATAATGGGCTACTTGTTAACAGAATTTTCAATAATAAAATTTTGGAACACAGAACAAAAAGCATGCCCAATTGCAGCAGATGAATACGGAATACAGTTTATAGGACAAGCAGCCAGACTGTATCCAAATGCAGTCTTTTAGCAATAATGCAAGCTCAGTATTAATTATCCAAGTCTTCTGCTTTCCTTGTCCCTAGCTGCCTCCTCAGACTAAGTGCTCTAAGCTTAGGCCCCTGGGAGCCCTGAAGAATTCAAATCCTAATTCTTGGACACTTCATCTCCCTCTCCCTTGCTACAGGTTCAGGTTCGGTCATAGTGGTGAGTCTGTTTTAATGATATCAGAAGGGTAGAGGAACAACAAAATGAAAATAATTCTAATTTCTGAATTTTCATGTGGTGATATCATTATCATTACAATACTGATAACAGCTGCTACTGAGTTTTTTTAAAATTATTATTAAATTTTATTAGTTTTAATGAACATTTACAGAGATTTTGGGTTTTCACTCATTCATTGTTGCGAGGTTAGTGTTTTGATATCCCTATTATCACCATAATTGTAACAAAGGAAGAGTGTGCATTTTAAGCAAGAATCATGATGAACGCTAAACACAAAATAGATTGAAAATAGATATACAATGATTAGACAATTTATTTTAATATTAGCTCTACAAAATACTATTTTTTTTTCCACAACAACTGAGATCAGCTTCGACATTGAGAGCCCTTAAGGAAATTCTTATGTGTATGATGCTGTGTGTGATTCTCATGTGTGTGACTCTGCGTCACACAGATGTTCCCTCAAGAAAACAAGACAACGCTATTAAATGTCTAGCTGAGTAAACAGGTACTTGAAAGTATATTCAAGTATCAGCACATACCCTCTTATATCAGCAAAAGCCAAAATGTAAGAGAATAAACATTCTTTTCTCAGTGGGGGTAAAAATACAGGTTTCAAAAGGCATTTTTAGGATTATCAGAGATTATGTCCTTTTCTCTATCCTTTTCCCCCTACTTTATATGTTTCCTCTGAGTACTCTTGTTCACATCTATATATTGCTGGATCCTTAAAACAAACCTGAGCTCCAAAGTGATAGGGGCAATCTGCTCCTGTGCCAGTTTGATCCTATTCGACGGTACACAACAAAGAAAAAAAAGAAATTATAAAAAAAGCAGCTCGTTCCACTAATTGTGCTCTATGCTCCATGTTCATGCCTCAAGAAACTTGCTCCATCAATTTTTTTTCCTCTTTCTCAAATTTTCAATTAATCTCAATCTATCCTCCTCAACTTCAATCTTTTCCATCAGCCTTTATATATGATGAATCTTTGTCTCAGGCAAGCAAGCAAGGAAGCAAATAAAAAAAATACAGATCTCACATTCCTCCTATATCTAATTCTCTCTTTCATGACTTAAAACCTTGAAGGCATGACTATTCACTCCTTTATCCTTCATTGTTCTCTTCATTTCATGGAAATATTTTTTAGCGAGATCACTGTTGATTAACTTGTTACACACACAGAGCAAGCACTGGGCCAAACACTGGACGAAATAAGCTTGAGTCCTGCTTCATTTCTGGTGAGATTAGGACAATTTACTTTCTGCACCTGATTTTTCCAAATAGGAGGTACTTTTAAGTCCTTCCTGATTTTAACAGTTGAAAGTATAATTTAGTCACTTTAGTCATTTTTATTCCTCTGATGTTTAAGAATAACTTGCAAGAGGCTCTGGTGGCTTAGTGGCAAGAAGCTGCATTGCAATCCCAGAGGTGCGCAGTTCAAATCCACCAGATGCTCTGCTGGAGATGGAAGGGAAATCTCCTCCTGTACCAGTCAGATCCAATTTGATGGTAGACACACAAAAAATAATTAAAAAAAATAATAATGAATAAAAAAAAACAATAACAGAGTAGCTTGCAAGACCAGGGAGGCCCAGCTTCAGGGAGAAGCAAGGATTCTGATGTCTGGTCTGATGGTTACCGAAGACTTTCAGTTACCTCAAGATTTAGATACTGAAATTATTTAGGCTTGCTATTGAAAAAGGGGTGAAATGTTTCTAGTTGATTTCCATTTTATCCTACTTCACATCAAAATTAGATTAGAAATTAATCAGTTGATGTACCTGATCAGCAATCAAATCTACTCTGCACTCAAGCCACAGAATTCATATTTATAGATCACTCGTTCTGCTTTTTTAAAAATAAATCCAATCAAACACTTGCCTTTCATTCAAACTCAGACTAGAATGAAAAGCTCAACTGTGAAAGTCCGAGTACAATTAGATTTAAAAAGCAGAGTCTTGAAGTCAAAGTATAGCTCTAAAGGTAAGGAGTGGGCCTAATAAGAAAGTGCCCATGCATAACCCCTCCTCTGTAGCACATGCAACACCAGCTACTGCATGCAAATACCAGACATGGGCACAAAAACAATGATAAATGTCAATCAACACTCACCCTCTAGATTTTCCAGAAAGGAGCTGGACATGAGAGCTCATTGTGGTTAGGCCATTTCTCTGCTGAACCTGATGGCTGGTGTTCCAAGTCTGACATAAACTGGTCTGTGTCAAAGAAGACAACATCACTACTGAATGGAACAAACCAGAGGGTGAACTTAATCTACTATACAGTGTCCAGCCTGGTTTTTTCCTTTTTTATAATCAAGAGGAATTTCCTTGTTCTTCATCTACCAGTAACTATATATAAAAGCTCCCCACATTATAATAGATAAAATGAATAGTAGAACTAAAGTATTTTAGGTAATGATAGATTTTTCTTTAAAGCTAAAGGGCAACAATTTAAAAAGAGCTACAATTATGGTTTTCAGTTCAATAAATCTGGATTTAAGTGAACTAGTTCTTATTAGATTAGATCTATTTGTAATTTCTAAATACTTGTTAAGTACTAAATCTGAAGTATCTAGGTGATAGAAAATATATTAAATTCAGCTCTACTTTAGAACACAAAATCAAACTGTGAAAGAGTAGAGAGCCAGAAAACTATTATGCATAGTCAAATTTAGGGTCAAAGAGATTTATTTTAATTTTTGAAAAATATTTTTGTTGATATTTTTGTCAGAGATGCCTCCATTGCTGGTGAGTCCTAGAAGGTCAAAAAGGTCACAGTGAGCAGTGAAGTTTCATTCACAAGTTACAGGGAAATGTGTATGGCTAGGTATTGTTTTTATTATCAATTTGGAACTGATTCCTAGCTGTCCCTCTACTGAGTTTTCATAGACTGTAAATCACACGGAGCAGCTGGTGGATTTACAAACCTCTTGCCTTTGAACTGGCAGTGCAACTCCTTACAACTAGGCCACCAGGGCTCCATGTATGGTCAGAAGAGTAAGATTTAAATGAAGTTCATATCCATTACACCAAGGTGTAAAATCAATTTTGGTAAGCTGAGATCAGTATTTTTGAAAAAAGAAAACAGATTCAAAGAATATCAGACTGCATTTCCCATCATAAATACTAAGTATTGGTTTGTAAGACTTCCGAGCCAGTCATATGCACTAAGTCATGTTCTAAAACTTGTTACTGTGGAAGGCTGTCAAAATGCATTTAAATCAACCAAGATCTGAAAGGCAGTATTTACCCACAAAGAAAGCTCAGAAGGCAGAAAGGGATAGAAGGGTGAAAAAAAACAAGACACAGGACATGGTAAGAGTTCTCTTAAAATGTGGCAACAAAATTAATGCCACAAACCAAAATCTTTTTGAATAGAAAAATCAATTGCTCTATAAACTTTCACTCAAAACATAAGGGGGGAAAAAGCATTATTACAATTGGTCAAGTATACTGTAGTGGATGAAGGCTCAGGTGCCAAGTCAAGTTTTCAAGATAGAACATAACAGAGGAAGCAAAGTCTCTTCCTTGGTCTATAATTAATTACTTCTGGTCTCTGCTGTAAATCTCAATTTTTTTTGTAAAATCTTGGAAAAGTACTTGGAAGAAAATGTAGACTCTGTGAACAGTAATTAATAACTTTATCTTTGGTAGACAAAGGAAGGAAAACAAACCCAGAAATTTTTGTTTTAGGTGAAACTTTCTGTCTTAAGCTTTTTACTAAATGTATTTCTAGGAGTGTTTTTAAGATTACAATATGTATAAAAAATTTTCAAGAATGCCACAAGTCTCCTTTCTGATGATGCCAAATGCCACAATTCAATCCTTCAAAAGAGATTTAAATGTATTGTTGTTAGGGGCCATCAAGTGGAGTATGACTTACAGCAACCCTATGAACAACAAACCTAAGTCCTCTCCTATCCATTGCCAACCTCACAATCTCTGACACATTCGAGCCTATTGCTGCAATCACTCTGTCAATCCACCTGTTTGGGGGTCTTCCTCTCCTTCACTATACCATAAGCTTTCCAAGCATGACCAGAAAAATCCCTCTTCAAAGAAATGACTCTCCTAGCCAAAATGCCCAAAGTATGAGAGAGGTATGAAGATATAGGGACAGAAAACTCCAGATAAATCAGGACATAAACAAGAACTTAAGGAAAAAGCCAAGAAGGGAACAGACACTGTCTGGGCTTTTGTGAACTGGCTGACTAAATGGTAATTTTAGATTGTACTTTATGGAAATCTGTAGACTGATGGCAGCTCCCATAAATTGAAGGACTCATCTCACAATTGTTATAAAAAATTCTTATGTTAAAGGAATAAGTTAGCTTTTCATAGCTCTAATCTTTTTTTTTTTTTTTTAGTCCCTGCCCGCGCTCCCGTCTGCTCGCTCGCCCGGGAATGCCCCATAGCTCTAATCTTTAACTCATGGAGCTCTGATAGTGCAGACTATAGGGGGTTGTGTTGCTAATACAAAGGCCATGTCTCTTTGGCAGTTCAAATTTACCAACAGCTCTGACGGAGAAAGACAGGTTAATCTCCTCCCATGAATTTAGAGCCTTGGAAACCCAATGGAGGGTTAGCTGTGAGTCAGTTCTGATTCACTGGGAATGAGTTTGACAAGCCATTAACTTCCAAACTTCAGACTCATTCATCCAAATGACTACCTGACAGCTCCATTTGTATGTTCCAACTGATCCCTCACACTTATCACATCCCCAACCTCCATTTACAGTCTTTTCCCCTATCTCAGAGCCAATGTCAACTCCATCTTCATAACTAACTGCTCGGGCAAAAAACTTCGGTGTTATACTTGACTTCTCTTTCCCACCTCACAGGGAATTTGTCAGGAAATGCTATTAGTGCCACCTTCAGAATACATTCTTTCTCTCACCGCCACTTTACTCTTACCCCATCCACCTCCTCGAGCCACAGTATCTTCCTCCAACTTACAGCTAGCATCTTAGTCCATGCGCTCTTTACAAAAAGCACTTCAAACGGACTGTTTCTGCTCTCGCGCTTTCAGTGTTTCTTCCACTCAGCAACTGGAATGATTCTGTTTAAACCTAAATCTGATCATGACTTATCTGTTAAAATACAACACCTACAAGACCTTATGTCCTGATTCTTACAGTATGACTAGAGGATTGCTAGTATTCCCTGAGAAGTTTAAGGGGGTTTGTGAGGTCAAACTATTTTCATAATACCAAGAATTATTTTGCCTTTTCTACTCTCATTCTCTTGAAAAATTACAGAAGTTTTCTAGATGTCATATGGTCCACAGTGACTTTATTACTCTGGTAGATAATAGAATGTATATATTCTTGTTTTTAAGACGTCTCATTTTCATTTCTAATACAACAAAAATTGACAGGCATAAAAAACCTGATGAGAGGAAGGTCTCAGGGAGTAAGAATCAACGCCTTTGAATTTAAACAAAATAAAGTAAAAATTATAAAGTGGGGAAAAAAATCATTTTCCACCAAACCTTCAACAAAGGAATGTAAAAGATTAAGTTTCACACTTTCCCTCTTATCCACAGTTAGGCTTCAGACACTGATTTAAATAAAAAATTAAAAAAAATCTCACACACACAAGAGCTGTGAACGTACACTTATCTAAGTTCTAGCGAAGTTAAGATGCCCGGTAAGAGGGGATTATGCAATGCAAGGCCAGAACTGCTATCAAACAGCAAAAGTGCGTTTCAATGCTAAGTCTAAATGGAAATATTTCTATATCCTTCTAAAGATTTTTTTGTCCCTATGAATAATACATTTCACAGGAATTAAGACATGAAGAAAATTTTAAAACAGATCTATAAAAAACTGCTATTATGCACTTGGTAGAAAATAGAAAATTACTATTTTATAGAGGAGATATTATATAAAGTTATCAATCAGAGCTATTTCAGAACCACTATGCACAAGTAAGCCAATATAAATTTCAGACAGACCTGGATTCAAATCTAAGTCCCAGCACTTGTGGCCATATATTATCAGTTAAGTGTCTAACCTCCCTGAGCCACATCTATAAAAATAAGGCTAATTTACATGGCACAGACTGTGGGACGAATAAGTTCTAACAAAGTAGCATATGCACTATGTAAGGAAGTTCTAGCATAGTACTCAAAAATATGAGTTTTATTATGATGTTGTTGTTAGGTGCTGTCGAGTCACCTGCGACTCACAGCAACCCTACGTACAATTTTGAAGCCTACCCTATCTCACTTACTCCAACACACCTATGACATAGTAACCAGAATTCACTGATTATTTGAAAATACACATTCTGAAGACTTTTTATACGCTGCTTATTTAGTGGTGGCTTGTCTTGGAATCTTTTTATGTTATGTAAACACTGGAGTTGTGCAGTTCATATGCTTGCTTGGCCACTAATGAAAAGTTTGGAGGTTCAAGGTCATCCATAGGTGTCTTGGAAGACAGCATGAACAACCTACTTGTGAAATATCAGTCACTGAAAACCCCACAGAGCAGTTTTACTGTTCTACACATGGGCTTGCCATGAGTCAAAAATCAATTCAATAACAACTGTTTTTTCTTTAAATGTTTAAATGTCAAACTGACATAATCTCTAAGGAAGGAGATGGCCACAACTCACTCCTGTGGCTCAGTTCGTAAGTTCAAACCAGTGATCTTTTGGTAGCAGCCAAGCGCTTAGCCACCAAATAGCTAGACTCTTTTCCAAAAATAATACATGACATTATTTTAGGAACACTGTCTCTGGAATTACTGATCAAAAATATGTTTGAGGATGGATGGTACAAGTATATTTTCTTCAATTAGTATTTTAAGAGTTTCAGGTAACAAATGTTAAAGGAGAAAGTTCACAATTATCTTCCTTACTCTGAATGTCTTTAAGTGGATTAATATACAAAACATACTCTAATCATTGGCTATGTGTTTTATACTAAACATCACTGAAACCAATGACAGGAGGAGTAGAACACTGACAATAAATTTACTTTTTCTTCCTTCTCCAGACTAGCCACTTAACTCTCCCCTGCCCACCAACACAGGTAACTGGCTGCCTGAACCATGTACTTATGACTTCCTTGTTTTTAAAAACCATCTATTTGAATGTAGGCTCTTCTGCCACCTCCATACAGAGCTACAGCAGCTGAGGTCATGTCTAGAGTCCCTGTTTACTGCCGAATTAGCAAATGCCCTACATTCAGGATCAGTCAGTCTGTTACCACACAGAGCCTCCAAGCTGCAGTGTCAGTTTTCACCACGGCAGCAGGTCAGGCTATATTTAACATGCATCCTCTTCTCTGCTGATGAGCTGCAGCTGCAACTATGTAGTTTGTGAACAAAGGAGGACAAGTGGGAACTGAGGAACCCTAATGTCAAGTTGTAACAAGATTCAGTTCAATCACAAATTAAATGGGCTGCAGTTAAAGATCTAGGACACTCTAATCTTACAATAGTATAATCTTAATTACCAAGTTTAAACATCAGGTATCACAACTTCTATACTGCTGTGATAAAATCGACTCTTTTATGGTATATGATTTGACACTCCCTCAAAAAAAATGATAACATATGAGTAAAATCTCATAGACAATTTTAGAGGTGCAGAACACATCACTTTGGGCAAAGGGGCAACGGTATAGGGAAGGAAGTAGCAAAGGAAATAGGAAAGCAATCAGCTAAATGGATTTGAATATCACTGTAATTGGTTGAACATTCATATACACATTATATATAGCCTTCATTCTGCTGTTACTACCCTAAGAAAAACCTTCTGAAGAGAGAATATTGCTACTCTGGTGCAGAGAAATATTTTGAGATCTTTCTCAAAGATCAAGTCAAAGGTTGACATGAGAGGCCAAAATCACACCAATGAAATGGAACAAAAATAATTTAGGGAGATGTTGAAGAGACTGCAACTAAGGCCACAGAGGTATAAACTGTTGAATGGAAAACTAATTTGCTCCATAAACTTTCACCCAAACCAAAATAAAATGTTAAAATATGAAAACAAAAAAAAACCCTCAAAGGGGGGTGTGCTGATTTAGCAGTACTTATGATTCACTAAATCAACAAGAGGCTAGAGGAGCTAAGAATAAGAAGTCAGCCAGCGTCCTGACCTCAGGATACACTGACAGTTTCTGACCAAGGAAGGTGACAGTCTTAACCCACTTGCAACTGGCTGCAGTCTGTTCACGTCTGGATACTGCACTATGATGAAGAATGTAAAAATACCAAGATTCAGGCAGAGAGGAAACCACAATGATGCAGGAAGAGGGAAGCTGCTGTAGAGTTTTTAAGTCTGGAAATGACATCAATATTTGACATATTTGAAGGGTTATTATATGAGGAGCCAACTTCTTCTGTGTGATTCTAGAGGCATCACACATGAAGCAAGGCCCACTGGAATTCCAAAAGCCCTGAGATGCTCCAAAGGTGCTGGAGGGGTAGGTACAGAAAGGAATACAAGGTCACCATAGGCACAAAATGTGGACTACAGTGTCAAAGAGAAAGGTGGAACAATCTTGAAAGCTTCATATAATAATGAGAATCAATAATCTTTAAACTTGCACTGTCTCGAGACAAGTTTCGAGGATGCCGCCCAAAAGAAAAAGCTGTACTGGAAAGGCCGGAAAAGGGGAAGCAGCCTCTGGGAGTAACAGTGTTAACAAGATGACTCAGGGTCCTAAAGGTGGTGGCAGTGCAATAAAGGTCAGGCACATTCTGTGTGAAAAATATGGCAGAATTATGGAAGCCATGCAAAAGTTAAAAGTCTGGAATGAGATTCAATGAAGTGGCTGCACAACATAGTGAAGATAAAGCCAGGCAAGGGGGCGACTTGGGCTGGATGACCAGAGGGTCCATGGTAGGTCCATTTCAAGAAGCAGCCTTTGCCTTGCCTGTAAAAGTGCACTGGATAAGCCTGTGTTTACAGACCCCCCAGTCAAGACAAAATTTGGATACCATATTCTTATGGTTGAAGGGAGAAAATAAAATCATACGAAAATAAAAAAAAATTGCACTCTCTCTTCTCACAGAGACTCTATAGAGAAAATGACATTTTCTTCCCTCTCTTGTACTCGTTTACACCCATTCTCAAAGTCTCAACCCAAACCAACTAAAAACATAATTGGAATACTTGGAAAACTGCTACTGTACTGAATTAGGAGCCAGGAGACTTGGGTTTAGTCTGTTCTCTGCCACTGACTCAGTGTGGGACTCAGGGTGAGGACTATGGCTCAGGAGAATCCAGATTCCTTACACATAAAACAAGGGAATTATTTAAGAGTATTATCTACGAAAGTTTTCTTGAATTTCTGAGTTGAAGTAAACCATTCTCACCTCAATGTCATGGATTTTATAATAAAAAATTCACATTTTAATGTCCTGAAAGATTCCCTCTTACTTAAAAACTTCAAAAGGGTAACCAGAAAAAAGTTATCTTTTATTCAAATATTAGAGTTCAATATTTATAAGGGTTTTATAAAAACTGAGCTTACATTACAGCTTTATAGAACCTCAGAACTTCTAAATATCTAGAAATTTTAAATCTAGAGATGAAATTAAGTAATTCTTGATTCTAAGGATCATTATTATTATTCTTTCAGAAGTAAACACTTATACATGTCTTGCTCAGTTATCCTATTTTCGCAATAGTGGTCTTAAGTGTATTAAGGAAACAATGTATATGAATGATTGAATGCAAATTAAAAAATCTAAGTAAGAAAGATAATTACGCAAACAAACAAAAATCCCCAATGACTTCAGGGACCTAACCACTGTGGTCTGCTATGGCTGAGAGCCAGCTGGCTAGCACTGCAACAAAAAAAGGACCAACTGCCTCCACTTTCGGCCCTGCTAGTCAGTTTTGTGACCTGTGGTGGAAAGAATAAGTCTAGAAAAGTTACTATCCTCTTTAGAGACAGGACTGGTGAGAACTGCAGTTGATAATGAACAGAAAAATGAAAACGCTGTGTAAGCTATCAGTGTTGTCTTAGCTTACACAGAGATTTTCTGTTAACACAAGTCACACATCTCCACATGGCTTTGAAAGCCATCTTCTACACTATTCATTCTCTAATCACAGATATGTATTCCCAGACATACTTTTAGTTCTCTGCTAAGGTTGTCAGATTTACCCTTTGATCTATTATTACTAAAAATACACTCTCATCTTCTAAAACTTAGCTCAAAGGTTACCTCCTAAAGGAAATTTTGATCAACTCTTCCTTATCTTCACTGGTATCCTAATGCGCTTCTTTTATACTTTGACTGGAGTGACTCAGACCTTATGTGTGACATACAGTTCTAACTACAAATCCTGGGAGAAGGAATGCTTTGCTTCCCCACTTTGTTTAGGTTCTGGGATTTAATACCAGCTTTGCAATTAGTGAATTCAGCCTCTCCAGATCTGTAAGAGATGACTGATTTAGAATTACTTTTCTGCACTAGATTAATACAGAATCAGAGAAGACTAAAACTATGTCTATGTTAAAATCTTCAGAATTTTCATTTTTGGACAATTGTTGAGAGCTTTCACTGGATTCCTAATTAAATATTATTTCATTTCTCTACAATGAAAAGCCGAGAATATACTCTGCATCGTTACCTGAAGATATTATCTTTGGGAATCTTCAATTCCTGAAAAGACTGGCACTCTACTTTCTTCTCTAATTTATTGATTTAATAAAATCAGAAGTCTATTAGATACCAGATTACTATATTTACATAAATAAGATTCTCTTCTCCCTGTGCCCATGACTGTCCCAGTAACAGCACATAAGTCCCATTTTGTACCAGTACTGCTGACTGACCCAGCAAGCCAAGGCCACAGGACAGAGCAGATTCACTACTTATGTCAATCTAAAGGGCAGAAACTCTATCTTAATACCTTAATATTTTAGTATCTGGCCCCATGTCTTGCAAAGGAAGGTATTTAGCAATATTTATTGAATAACACCCTGAATTCTATTCTTTAGACATTATGATCTCATTAAGTAAGGCAACATGCCATAAGCAGTAGCAAATACTAGTTAAAAACAGATTTTAAAGCATAAATTTCTCAAAATTATTTTCAAAGTCATATGTTACCAAACCAAAGGACAAGCAAATCTATCTTGGAAAAAGTGCAGCTAGAGTGCCCTTTAGAGGCAAGGATAATGGGATTTTCTCTCAGATACTTTGGGCATTTTATCAGAAGGGGCTAATGCTTGGAAAAGGATTGGTCAGCAAAAGACCCGCAATGAGATGGATGACAGTAGCTGCAACACAGGGCACATGCACAGCAGAGACAATAAGGGGTGGGCAATGGCTTCATCCTACTGTACATACACAGGCTGTGAGTCAGAGGTGACTTGGCACCTTATAAAATATTACATATTTCTAACAGTAAGAACTTATTTAAAAGGCTAATCATATGCCAATAAACAATTCCTGGTAATTTTTTCATGGCCCTTGGATTCTCATTGCTTCAAGGACATAAGATGAACTTACCATCATCTAAAGTGATGTCCTGTAGACCAATGGTTGCAAAGTTGGGTTCTCGTTCTTCAGGTTCAGGTTTAATGCTCACAGTTGCCCCGTCAGAAGAAAATGAAGTTGTATCACATAAATTGTGACACATTAAGGTTGAAGGTGCAGAAAGACCTCCCTGGCTTGTACTTTGTGCTTGAGTTGCATGCTGCCCAGAATGCATTCTGGGGGCTGGAGACGGTGATGAGGCAGTTCCTGAGCTAGGAGATTGGTAAGGCATAGGCTGTAGCTGAGGAGACGGTGGCCCAGAATGTGGTGAACTGGCCAGGGGATGAGAAGTTGCTGGGGAAACTGTTGTAGCAGACCCTGAATGTGAAGAACCATATGTAATGGGTTGTAACTGAGAGGACGGCTGCCCTGGGACTTGGTCAGCCACTGGAGAAGAAAGAGACCTTTGTCCTACATTTGAACAATGATATCCCATTGGCTGTAGATGAGGTGGGGTCTGCACAGAATGAGGTGTGTGTGCTAAGAGATGTCCTGTTGAGCCTGAATTTGTAGAATGAAATGGTATGGATGACAGTGGTTGACAGCCAAGATTTATTAAACTAGGAACAGCTGTATCCTGCTGGAACAAAACTGAATCAAACTCTTGACTAGAGGCAGCATTAATAGGAAGACAAGTTGGTCCATTGTACACATTAGTTTGCATAGGCTGATAGGAAGACCCCACAGGAGGTGTAGGTGTGACCTGGAAAGCCTGGTGCACAACTGGAGAAGGAATCATATGCTGTTCTTTACAAACACTCTGATCCCTACACTGCAACTGTGGCAGATGGGAGGAGGTTACCACTGATGCATATGCTTGCTGGACGGGACAAACCAAACTTCTCTGTGCTGGCAAAACACTATCATGTGGGTGCCCTGGATCTGATGAAGACCTCTGGGTCTGGGCAGGACGAGGCACCGGCAAAGATGGAACTGAAGATAAGTCAATCTCTTCTCTGTGTTCTTGTTTCATCAAAACTGAAAAGAAAATTATTAAAGGGAATATTAATTTATAAAAAATATATTAATTAGGACATTCCTATATGCTGGGCTGTAATGTGCATTCAGGAATCAGGGCTTTCAGATTCAGATGCCTTACACAAGACAGATGACATAAAATGAGTGAAAGAGGCAAGCCCAAGACAGTAGGGAGTGATTATGCAGCTCAAATGTAGTCAACTTTAAAACAACACATGTACAGAGCTAGTTATTTTTTAATTGATATGAAAGTATTTCTACACTATAGGGCTAAGTAACAAAAACCAAGTTACAGAATAATGTATATAATACACACTGATTTACGTAAAATATTAGACATGCATGCACACAGCCTCACTCTTATGTGTGCAGGGGGATCTTTGGAAAGATGTACAAGAAACTGCTAACTGCTGAGTCTGCATCTGGCAAGAGTAACCAGGTGAACAAAGGGGAGGGAGATTCAGTTTTATTTATTTGCTTTGGAGATTTCTTTTTTACTGTACACTCTTCTTATGCCTTTTGGGTTTTTCCCCACTATGTATATTAACTAGTCAAAAAAGAAGTAATTATCTTAAAAAAAAAATCTCATGGCCTAATAAAGTGTGAGTGATGGTGACACAATGATTGAAGAGAGTTTTACTGATAACCAAAACCAAAAAGTTTGGTGGTTCAGATCTGCCAGGTGGTCCACACACACACACACACACACACACACACACACAAAAAGATGTGACAGTCTGTTGCCATAAAGATTTATTATGGTCTTACAAAAAAACAAACCACCAAACCCAACCAAACCTGTCTATCTTGAAAATGAAAAAGGAAAAAAATATGCTACTTCTTATTCAGTCCCTGTAACAACAAAAAAAATATAGCTGCAGGGAATAATACGGTTAATAAATTTACTTCCAAATACAAGATAATGCTATCAGGAGTATCTCTTTAAAACACATGAGAAATATTTACCCTGGTTTGGAGAATATGTAATACAGTCCTGAAAACATACACTGGACAATGATCATCATATGCCCACCATGTACAAGTCACTGGACGATACCGTGGAACAAAAATATTAATCGGAATAGATGCTACTCATCTCAGCAGGATGTGGCAGAAACTTTGTCATCAACACTGACACAGTGCAGACACCCTCAGAGTGGCATCACTCAATCCAGCAGAAGGCCTCTCTTAGTAACAGATTTTTCCTTTGTAATGACAATAAAGGATAAATTTTATGAAGCATTCATTTTGTGCCTTTTACTTAAACCGTCTCATTTTAAAGTATCGGCTCCTTTTCTTTCTCTCTCCTCCCCCATCTCATTTCCTTTTCTCTACAGAATTTCTTTTTCCTATGTTTTGTCATTTTAATAGGGATGTCAATCATAATGCTCACTTATTGGGCATAACCTTCAGTTTGGTCAACAAAAGCAGTCAATCTCCTCTTTCCCCAAGAAAGGACCAGGAATTTATGTTTGATTAGGTTTCTGTCATTTTAACGAAAAGATCTCAATGCAGTTCAACACTTCAATGCTTTAAGGATTACTATTATCCCTACTTTACAGGCTATATATATGGTCCCCTGATTAGGAACGAGATCAGTTTCTGCATCTTTAAAAAACTATATAAGGTTCTTTCTTTTTTTTCCCCATTTGGATTTTTTCTTTTTTAAAAAATACTAGTTTATTTACAAAATTTGAATATACTCATTTTGAGAACAGATTCTTCCAATTTACCTCACCCATCATCCATCAAATGGTACAACCCCACGATTAATCCCTGCACATCCTCATCGCTCTGCTTCCATTCTCCCTTACCCCCTATATAAGGTTCTTATTTAGCCTTATTATAGTTTAAGAAAAGGCTCAAAGCTTTTCCAATGATTTGAAAGCTCTTTGTGCAACAAGTAAAAGTGACTGTGATGAGGAATTTGTGGCAAGCAAGGATTGATTAAATCTTTTCAAAGTGAGGGAAAAAATTATGTAACATTAAAGCAGAGCTTTGAAACAACATGCCCCAATCCAAAGGAGGTGGTGCCACGTTCAAAGATGGCAGCCAGCCACGCTGCTTTGAATGTGTGTGGCCTTCTACAGTCCTGCCAATAATCTAGTCTCTGCATTAGGCTTCTGAAAGGGCTTTCTGAATCTCTTCTCATTTTAAGACTTTAGACAAGTTTCTACCATTCCAGTTATCTTGATGAATCAAAACTGTAAAGATTCAAGTCTATTCATGTTTCCCTTCATCAGCCATGACAGACCAATTTGAAGCCCTGTATTAAAGAGCCAGTGCAGTCTTCAATATGGATTGAAGCTCAATATAAAGAAAACAAAGATTCTCACCAGTAGGCCAAGAAGAGATTGAGATAGTTAACAGTTTTCATTTACTTGGTTCCAGTCAACACTCTTGGTAACAGCAGCCAGGAAATCAGGAGACGAATTGCATTGGGAAAGTCAACTGTGAGGGACCTCTCAAGAGTACTGAAGTGCAATGACTTCAGGCTGGAGACTAAGGTGTGCCTGATCCAGGCTACAGTCTTTGCAATTACGTGCTATGCATCGGAGAGTTGGACAGTGAATAGGGATGAAAGAAAGAGAATTGATGCCTTTGAGTTGTGGTGCTGGAGAAGAGTGTTGAATATACCATGGACTGCTAGGAGAACAAACAGGTTTGTTCTGGAGAGGGTGAAGCCAGAATGTTCCCTGGAGTTAAGGATTCTGAAGCTTCGTCTGACATACTTTGGGCATGTTGCAAGGAGGGACTGGTTCTTGGAGAGGGACATCATGTTTGGGAGAGTGGAGGGACAGCACAGGAGAGGAAGACTCTCGATGAGATGGACTGATTCTGTGAGTGGAGTGGTGGGAATGAATGTGTTTGAGACAGCGAGGTTGGCACAGGATAGAATGGCGTTTAGGGCTCTTGTACATAGGGTCACTATAAGTCACAAACGACTCAATGGCACATAACAACAACAACAACAACAACTTGTCTGTAAACTGGATATTCATTAACTCAAGAACTGTCTGTATACTGAAGAGGAAATTAAAGACGTTGATGTTAACACTGTAACACCATCTACTGCCAGAAACAGTCAAGTCACCCTTTATCCTTCCTTCTCATTCACGTACCCACCCCTATAGCTAATCCATCACTTAACTCTATAGACTTTACCTAAATATTTCAAATCATTTTCTCCACTGTCACCATCCTAATCCAAATGACCATTACCTCGTTCTTGGACCATTGCTATAACCTACTGAATTCTCTCTGGTCTGATGATTCACTCTCCAAATAAGAAAACCCTAAACTACTGTTTGAATTTCAGTCTCCATGACCCTGAAATTAAAAGAATCAGATGGTGCCTTGTTACCATTGCTGATCTCTCTGAAAGGGATCACAATAAAAAGTTCTGATAGAATAGGAGAAAAATGAGGGACAAAACTTAAAATCTCACAAAAAAGATGAGGCTTGCTGGTCTGATATGAGACTGGTGGTGTTCTCAAGACTACAGCCCTTAGTCAATCTTCAAGCCTGGAATGGAAATAATCCCAGGGATTCACCTTCAAACAATAAAAGATACCTAAGAGAGCAACAAATTTCTTAGCATAATCGACAATACATGATCCAAAGGGGAGGATTTGCCTAGGGACAAAACTCAAGGGGCAGGAAAGGATTTAAAAGAAGGACAAACAAAAATGGAAAACACAGAGCAGAAGTGAGAAGAGTACTGACAATGTAAAGACTGTAATTAAGTCACAAAAGACAATGTGCACTAATTACTGAATGGAAAACCAGTATCTGTAAACTTTTACTTAAATCACAATAATGAACAAATGAATTAAAGAATATAATTAGCATTCAGACTTTGTTCTTTTATTATAAACAGCTTAAGTGTTTTTCACAATTAGTTTTGGAGAGCAAAGTTCACTATGATTTTTTTGTTGTTATTATACACCTTATTGACTAGCATTGCATCTAGTAGAAAAAGCTTTTATAAATATTTGTCTTGTAAGCATATAACAATTAGCATAAATTACTGCAGATGTTATTTACATAGCACTATCAAGAGCAGCATCATAATGCAAGGTGAAGAGATTGAGACTGTCAACAGCTTCAATTTGCTTGGCTTTACAATCAACACTCTTGGTTGATTAATCAGGAAATTAAAAGATGAATTGCACTGGGAAAGTCTGCTGTCAGAGACCTCTCCAAAGTACTGAAGAGCAACGATGTCAGTCTGGAGACTAAGGTGTACCAGATATAGGCCATGGTCTTTGCAATTGCTTGCCATGCATCAGAAAGCTGGACAATGACTAGGGATGACAGAAGGAGACTTGATGTCTTTGAGCTGTGGTGCTGGAGAAGAGTATTGAATATACCATGGAGTGCTAGGAGAACAAACAGGTTCGTCCTAAAGAGGGTGAAGCCAGGCTGCTCCTTGGAGGCAAGGATTCTGAAGCTTCGTCTGAAATACTATGGACATGTTGCAAGGCGGGATCTGTCCTTGAAGAGGGATGTCATGCTTAGGAGGGCAGAGGAACAGTGCAGGAGAGTTAAGACCCTCCATGAAGTGGAATGATTCAGTGACTGGGGTAATGGGGATAGATGTGCTCGAGAAAATAAGATTGGCACGGGACAGAGCAGGGTTTATGGCTGCTGTGCATAGGGTTACTATGAGTGGCAGGTGATTCGACAGCACATAACAACAACAATCAAGAACTGGAAAGTTAGGGAGCTCTGGTGGCCTAGTGGCAAGACGCTGCACTGAAATCCCAGAGGTACGTGGTTCAAATCCACCAGATGCTCTGCTGGAGAAGGAGGGGGCAATCTCCTCCTGTACCAGTCAGATCGGATTTGAAGGTACACGTAAAAATAATATAACAACAAAAAAAAAGAACTGGAAAGTTCTATCACTTGAATTGTCCCAGAAGAAGCATGGAAGCTTCCCCTGTTAGAGCACAAAATCTTTATGGCAGGTGCTCTGGCAACAACTTCATATTCCCTAGACACTACAATATGGTAAATGAAAGTAATGTGAGGGTTTTTTTCATCTGACTTGGAATGGCTGAGATGAAGATTATGAAGCAGGCAAGCTACTTCTCTACAGTGCGTCAGGAGTTCAGGATCCAGCAGAACATGCAGATGTACACCCAGAACCTTTTATGTAGTGTTGGTGACTTCTGGTACCTCCCGAGAAAATATTTCTCTGATTTAATTTAATAATTTTCCTAGGATAAATGACTATAAAATGATAATATATTTAATAATGGAACATAGAAGTAAACTTTATAGGTTAAACATCAACTGACATTTTGACTGCTTAAAAGTATCTTACTTTAACCATTCTAATAGAAAATTCATCAAGCCATATTTATTCATTATGAAAGAAAACTCTACAGTAAGCCATCACAACAACTCTGATACCTGGTGTGTAAGTAAAACGTTGGGACTGGCTTTTTTTCCTCTTGCCATTGCAAAGATAAAAGTGCACCTGCACTGCAGCTGTAACTGTTGGGTTATGATATGGAGGAACTTCAAGGACAATGTGAGCCTAAGAAGAATGGAAAGGAAGATTGTGTTACACAGAACTAAAAATGAAATGCACCTGCTAAACTCAGCACAATTCATAAGTCTTAATTACAAAACATAGTAACCGATCATAGATGTCTCTGGAGATTTACTATATGGGCACTTCAGTCTTGACACAGACAAGCTCTTATAATTGATTAAAATAAACTGCTTTCTACCCAATCAATTTCATTTCTAGTTGTAGCAAAAATAAAGTCCTACCATATTCTATGTCTGTGATATTTTAAAGATTATATGTTGCTTAACTAGAAATCAATTCTGATTTTTACTTTAACACTTCCCAAGAAGCATTACAGTTTAGATATCTTAAATTTTATATTCAGAGTGCTACAAATTAGAAATAGACAAAATCTGTATTAGCAGAAAAAATGACTTTACAGCAACACAGTGGAAAATTTTATAGTGTCAAACAAATGCCCAATTTTTCTAGGTCTTCAAAGAACAAAGTGGGGGGAGTGATTCCTTACATTAGGGAAAATCCTTCTTTCATTCCACCTGGAACAAAGGGACCAAAGCTTTTAGTGGGATTCTTTTCCGCCCCCCCCCACTCATTGTTGCACATTTTCTTTGCCTACCCCATCGGCTCACCCCACAATTCACCCCTTGTTTCAGACTGTTCTCATACATATAAAGCCAAGAAATCTATTCATTTCGAAGTTCTTTCCCTCATCTGTTCTAAAGCACTGTTCATTATCTATCCACTCATCCTCAATCCTTCCATGTCTGTCTTATTTTATAACAGTGGTATTATGCAGTATTTGCCCATGTGTATGACTGAGAGATGTCACTCAGCATAATGTCCTACCAGTTTCCCCGGGTTGTATAGTGTTTTAGTTCACTGTTTTCAGTGCGGTGTAAAATTTCATTGTCTGAATGGACCATAATTTTTCTGTCCATTCATTTGTTGATGGGCACTTGGATTGCTCCCATCTCTTTGCTATTATGAATAACAAAGCAATAAACAGAGGTGTGAATACACTTCCTTGAGTTGTGGATCTGGTTTCTTTAGGGTATATTCCTAGCAGTGGAATTGCTCGGTCAAATGGTACTTCTATTACCAACTTGTTGAGAAAGTTCCAGACTGCCTTCTATAGTGGTTGTACCATTTTACATTCCCACGAGCAATGAATAAGAGTTCCAATCTCCCCACAAACTCCCCAGCTTTGTTTGCTGCCCTGTTGAACTTTGCTATTGTTGCTGGGGTGTAGTTGTTTTGATTTGCATCTCTTTGACAGTTAAGAATTTGGAACATTTCTTCATGTGTTTTGTTTGCTATTTTAATGTCTTCCTTGGTAAAGTATCCATTCATATCCTGTGCCCATTTTGACTGGGTTGTTTACCTTTTCTTGTTGATATGTTCACTGTAGATTCTTAAAAACTTAATGAAGCAATTGAGGAGTTAGGAAAAACTAAATATACGAGCTTGTTCTATCTTTTGCCACTATATATGTTCTTTACTAAATTTGTTTTTATTTTTCATTGGATTCGAAGAAATAAAAGAATGATCATTTAATGAAGAATCTTCTGATATTTTATTTTAAATTGTGTGTGTGTGTATATATATATACACACATATATACATCTATACATATACATACATCTATACATATACATATATATATGTATATATAGGTATGTGTGTGTGTGTATGTGTGTATATATATATATAAAATCTGTGGTGCTGGAGAAGAGTGTTGACTGCTAGGAGAATAAACAGGTTTGTCCTGGAGAGGGTAAAACCAGGCTGCTCCTTGTAAAACTTTGTCTGGCATACTTTGGACATGTTATAAGGTGGGACCAGTCCTTGGAGAAGGCCATCATGTTTGGGAGGGTGGAGGGCCAGTGCAAGAGAGGGAGACCCTCAATGAGATGGATCGATTCATAACTGGGGTAATGGAGATAGGTGTGCCAGAGACAATAATGTTGGTACTGGATAGAGCATGGTCTAGCGCTTCTGTATATAGGGTCACTATGAGTTGCAAACGACTCGATGGCACATACCAACAACTACTACTATATATATATAAAAGGGAAGACACCAACTGTTTATCTTTTTAAACTTTCATTTTATTATTAGGCAAGTATCTGCCTCTCTCCTAACTTCTGAAAATTATAATTTACTTTCCTATTAATCAATAGGTCAGAGTTCACACACTATAAAGCACCACTGTTTCATTTTCTCATTAAGGTTCTTAAATATTGTAAAAGAAGTAAATTTCTCACCCCATGGCATTTTTCCCTGATTATTTTCCCTTCTACTTCCCACTGAGGTCGTCCATCTGTTAAAAGAAACAACTTAGTTAAAATCAATTTAAATCATAAAGCTTATAATCAAAATCAAATATAATGTGCTGTTCTGTGTACCTTCAAGTGCAAACTGACTCATAACTGCCCCTACGGTGGGTTTTCAGAGGTGGTAAATTGTATCGGAGGAGAATGACTGTCCATTTTTCTTCCAAAGAACAAATGGTGGATTTAAACTGCAGGCCTTTGGGTTGACAGCACAGCTCCTGAACCCTAAGCCACCAGAGTTCCCTAACACAGGGTAGTATCACAAATTTACTGGTAAGGAAAACCTTTATCTCACTGACTTCCATTATGAAAATGAGTACTCATGAGAAAACAAATGAAAAAACGTTTCATGTCATCTAGGTTATTAGCAGGCCCCAAAGAATTTGTCCCACCTATCCCTTCAAGCAATTTTTTAAATTCTCAGAAAGCACCCCACTAAATGGTACCCAACGTGTACTTGTAAACTCCATGTGATGGGAAACTCACTTCATCACCACGTAACCCAAGCAACTCCATCTTGGGGTATCTGCTAGAAAGCTATTCATGGAAAATGAAGTTTATCTCTTCATAGTAGCCAATTATTGGTCTACTTCTGTGGTCACCCCAAAAAATTCCAAGTACTTATCTGTGAAGGAGCCCTGGAGTGCAGTAGTTAAGGACTTGGCTACAAATGACAAAGCTGGCAGTCAGAACCCACCAGTCACTCCACGGGAACGAGATGTGAAAGCCTGCGTCCATGAAGACTTAGACACATTATGGGGCAGTTCTACTTTGTCCTATAAGGCTGCTAAGTGTCAGAATCATGTCCGCAACAGATTTGGTTCTGAGACAGTATTTCTGATGTCTGAAACCAGCTACCATGATTTCTTGCATCTCCTCTTGCCCTACTAGAATCTCTAGTTATTCGATACACAGTACTTTAGCCTTTCTAATCTCTCTTCTTGGAACACGCTCTTCTATCACCTCCCTCTAAGCACCCCAAGCCCAAGATTGAATAGTCTGGGTAAGAAACAGCCCAGCACGATAATGACTGACTGAGACTTTTAACACCCTGGGTAGAAATTCTGTGTTTTCTATTAATGAAAAGACTATGAATAGTTAAAGACATGCTTAGAACCAGTTAACACAAGATTCAAGAAGAGAAGTGTTCAGAAAGAGAAAGGGTAGCATAGTAGTGTTCAGAAAGAGGATGTCAAATGGATTTTTAGGAGGTTAAAATATAAAGAGTGCAGGGCAAAATACCAAAAAGTAATGGGTAAGTAAATAAAAGCAGATGAAAAGACGAAGGGAAACAGAAGAACAAAGAAACACTGAGAAGTTGATAGTTTCAAAGGAAATGTAGTATTTAGGACTGGATGACTTAAACATATTTAAACTCTGAGGAAAAGGATTCAGTCACTAAAATAAGAGGTGGTGGAATCAGAGAGATGGGTAATAGATACATAGCTTTAAGTACAGAAGTTTAAGTAAAATGAAATTGTAAATGTTTTGGTGTGTGTGTGTGTGTGTGTGTGTGTGTGTGTGCGCGCGCGTGCGCACGCGCGCGTGTAAAGAGCTGCACTGTTGGGGAGCTCTGGTGGCCTAGTGGCAAGAAGCTGCAATGAAATCCCAGAGATAAGCAGTTCGAATCCATCTGATGCTCTGCCGTAGGAGGGGAAATCTTCTTCTGTACCAGTCAGATCTGATTTGACGGTACAGACACACATAATAATAATAATAATAATAATAATAATAAAAAGAGCTGCATTGTTAACAAAAGGCAGGTGCTTCAAATCCCTTAGCTCCCACTCTGGATAAAGATGGGCAATTTCCTCCTTGGGATTTACAACCTCTGATAACCTATAGGAGAGTTAAGTATAAGTTTGGTCTGACTTGATGACAAGGAAGTGAGGTGATAATATACATATTTAAACACACACACACACACACACACACACACACACACACATTTATGACATACAAAGATCAAAGGATGAAAACAATCAAATCATTAAATTAAGGTAAACAACCATCAAAAGAAAGCATACAGAAATTAATGAGAAAACAAAGACACTACTAAAAAGACTAACAAGCCAAGAACTCTAGAAAGACTGCTAAAAACCCCACAAAATAAAAAATTATACAAATAAGTAAAAACAGGAATCAAAAAAGTTATAACTCCAGATGAAGAAAAAAAGATTATTATAAACAAATTACTACATTTGAAAATGTATATGAAAGGAACAAAATCCTGGAAAACTGTAAAACTAACTAAAGAATAAAATAAAAATAAATGTTCCTTTAAATAGTGAGAAATGATATATAAAAAGTTTAAAAAGTGGAGGGTTGCACAATTTGATGGGTGGGGTGTGTGTGAAGGAAATGGGAAAGATGTGGTGTGAAAAACAATTTATACAAACTTTGTAAATAAGCCAGTATAAAATAATAACCAAAAAGAAGTTTCAAAAGCTTCTGGCAAAGACAGCCACTGACCTAAAGTATTTTAGAGGTCCTTCCTGTCACAGGTTTAAAGACAGGTGAGACATTCAACACACTTCCCCAACACAACTAACTCACTACACTATTAGAGAACAGAAATCATTTTTGTCAGTCAATGACAGACAAGAACATGCCAAATCAGCTGGGCAAAAAAGGCAGAGTCATGAACGTATATTCCACAAAAGGAGGAGATGTGAATGACTTGTTAAGTCAAAAGACGTCAAGCTCACTGCTGTCAAGTCAAAACCGAATCACAGCTCCAGCTGGTTTTCAGGAGGCCGGACACTGCACAGGAGGATCCACCTTTCTCCTTCAGAGCCACAGGTGAATTTGAACCACCAGAGGTACCACCTTTGGGGTGCAGTGCAGCTCCCTACAGACTACACCACCAGAGCTCCCTCACTCCTTTATAACCATAACAGAAATCAGCAAAGTAACCCAAAGCTCAAGATGCCATTTTACATCCACTGAATTAACAAAACTTAAGAATTTTCCTATTTTTAGCTGTGTTGAACTAGAATGTTCAAATGGGCACTGTTGGCTACTGTTTGTCAGCATCATCATGCTCTCCACAACCCCTGTAGGATTTTTAGCAGTCACTCCCTTTTTTTAGCCCTTACTCCAAGCCCTGTCACTATCATCTATTTCCAGTTTCTACTATCAGTCCATTCATTTTCTAGAAAGGGAAGCCCATAGCATGTGACCTTTTATACAGGTTTCTGTCACTTAGATGTTTTAAGGTTCATCTATGCTGTAGCATAAATCACTATTTTAGTCTTTTTTATGGCTGAAAATATTCTGTTGAATGGTTGTACCACATTTTGTTTATCTACTCATTAGTTTGGCATGTAAGCAGTTTCTAATATTTTTGGTGGTTTGTTTGTTTCTACTTGTGGTAAACATCTGTATACAAGTTTCTGTGTGGACACATATTTCTAATTTTGAGTATCCATGTGAAGTATAGTAGATTTGTTCTTTTACCTTAGAGAAAGTCCTTTAAAATTTAGCAGTTAACATTTATATAAAAATTTAATAAATGTTTGGCTTTCAGTAAGATTTTCTACACATAAAGGATGCCTACAACTTTTATTCTCAGTGCTACTGAGTTGGAACCGACTCATAGCTGACCCTCCAACAGGTTGCTGAGGTTGGGAACCTTCCAGGAGATTTCTCATTTTCCTCTTGCAGAGCCACTGGTAGATTCAAACCACATCATTCGACAGGTGTGGTTCTTTGGGTTGGCAGTGCAGTCAACTCCTTATGGCCTCTGCCAACAGAGTGCCCTTTGATAACTTGAGGAAAGAATTCTGCCATTAATGTTATCGGAACTGCTAAATAATTAATTTCATCCTCTGTCCCGTCAGCCTAAAATCAATCAACTCAAATATCGTATTATTTACCTTGTCCTTTTTCAAGAAAAATGATTTTAGATTCTGGAAGAAAATTAGATCCAGTCACAATCATTTCATGACCTCCATTTACAGAACAACTGTTGATACTGTACTTCTCAATATGAGGAAGTTCTTGAGCAGACCGCTGGGCTGTTGTGTGTTTTTCCCCCAAAAAAAGTTAAGAAGAAATAAAATATTAGTTTACAATCTTTCATATATAAATAACAAACTCAAGAAAACAGAAAAGTAAATTCTAAGAAGAGTATGTCAATCAGACTGATATTTTTCTATCTTAACAGAAAAGATGAGCAGCTATGATAATCATTATGTAAAAATAAAAACAATCTAGTTGTATTATCTATTGTCATAATATTAATTATACAGTATCATTCAAGTTTTTAGAATTCAAGTCCATGGTAAGAACTAACACAAAATAACTAGGTTTTAGGTAACAAAAGATTTCTTACATTCATACGATTTCTAAACTATGATTTAAAATAACCATTGTCTAAAAATCACCTAAGAGAAATTAACTCAATCCTGCAAGTTCATAGTGACTCAAACATATTCACTTCTTCAATTAGTCTCTTTCAGTTTAAGTCTTTATACATTCTTTTCATAAATCTGTCTGCTAAAATTTAGAAAAAGCTAATATAACTGTAAAAAGTGACTCCCCCCATTGTTAAATGCCTAGACATCTATATATATCTCATTTTAAAAAAAAAAGGTGTTGGCTACACAATATTCTTCACATTTGGAAAACAGGCTAACTTCAGAACTACCACTTAGTTGGAAAATTGGAGGCTTTGAGAGTAAGCTGTGCTTTATTTGGCAGCACAGCACTTAAAAGAAACTTGAACTTCAGTGTCTTTAGAAAGTTAACCATGACTCTGTCTTTCCTATTTAATACCCAGCCAGGTATGTGAGTTGGGAACATTGTTCCATTCAAAAAGAACAGTAAAATAGATCTTTCCATATGAAGTGGTTTGGGACTTAGGATCAACCTTACTTTGGGAAGCACCAGGCAACAACTTACAGCTCCGAAAATACTTATGACCTTACTGTTCCAAAGGGCCTCTAAGCATGAAAAACAAGTACTGGCTGCTTTAAGGAACAGATCAGATTTTAAATACTTATGGTGGAAAAATACCATAACAATGGTATTTTCAGTTATAAAGTAAAAATGTATTCAACAAATGACATAATAATTTTAGAATGCTATGTATGTGCAAAATAATATTTTAAAGAATATAAATGATAAGTGAAAACAGTATGAATTAAGACAAATGTACATCATTACAAGCATAAAAGTGAGTTTTAGGAAAATCTGTGTTCCAGGCAAAGCTCTGTCATGAACAAATAACTAAGTTGTATTTCTTAAACTGGGTAGCTGACTGGAGGAGTACTTTAGATATTTATGTCTACGGGTTAGAACATATCTAAATCTATGCTCTAAAGAGCTAAACATCAATCTCAGTATTTCTGCCATGCTAATTAACTCATCTTTGATTCACAGGCCTTCACGGCTTGAACAGACGGTTCTAGGAACTTTCTCCCATCTTGCCTTCATAAATCAAGGATAAAAGTGTTAACTTGCTCAATCTGATGCTGCAAATAATTTTGTGGTTAAGAAACAAAAATAAAAACCTGCAAATACTACTTTAGCTGAGGGTCAGCTTACAGAAGGAGGCATCTTCCAAAATGAAAACCAGAATTTTAATGAGTCAACAAGATAAAGTAGCAGAGCATGAGTCAGAGCTTAATGATCTAGTCTTCAAATGTCAGTCAGCTCATTTCCCTCATTTAAATACAAGAAAATTGTGCTCAAGAGAATATTCTATAGCCACACCCTGAGACAAACTACAGTTAAAAATAATTTTCTAATAAGAAAATCTTATCCGTACTCAGAGGCTCTGTTTTACTTAAACAGTAAGCTGTAAGTAAAACAAAAGGCAACCTACTCTCAGCAAAATCTTAAAACATTATCACATGCTCACTTACAGCATTCAACAGGTATAGAAGCTGTCTGCAGAGAAAGGACTTTTCCATTGGGCTGTGGGATATGTACACGAAACACAAGTCGTACTCTTGTATTCTTTCTGCCAATATCAGTCTCTCCTTTTCGAAGTTCTATATCTGAATTGCGAAGTTTCAAAATACCTGCACAGTCAATACTAGGAGAAAAAAGTAAACATTTTATTTAGATATTAAAAATCCGTGATTCTCAATAATACTTCTATGCAAGTATGGCTAATACTGCAGGGAAAATGATTACTATATAAATCAGGTCAAAAAAGGAGACACTCATGACTGCTATTCTGTTGTCTCAAGTAAAGAGTTTAAGAAAGGTTTTATAAAACAACAGACCAAGTGGCTGTTGGAAAGATGACTGTCAATAATTCCTCCCCATTCCTGTATTGTATGTGACTCCTTCCAATAAGAGGAGGCATCTATGACCTATTCTCCTTGAGAACTGGCCTTGTGAGTTGGTTTAACAAGTAGTGTGGTAAAACCAACTATCTTCTCTCTTTGCTTTCTTGGAGCCCTGATCCAAATAGCAAGCTAGAAAGAAAAGCCCAGACAATTCTCATTCTATATTCTTGATACTTCAGTCACCCTGGACTCCAACTCCATTGAGCTCCCAATTGAATCCAGGTGCATGAGTATCTCCAGGTAACACTAATGGAACTAACTAGTTGAGATGAAGCAATTAAAAAAACTCATGAGAGAGGTTAAAGGCATTCCCTTTAAGAACAGGAACTAGGCAAGGATGCCCACTATCACCTCTTTTATTCAATATTGTTTTGAAAGTCTTAGCAATAGCAATAAGACAAGAGAAGGGAATAAAAGGTATCCAAATAGGCAACGAGGAGGTAAAATTATCCCTCTATGCTGATGACATGATAGT